TACAACTAATGCTACTACCTTTGAGAAAAGAGGGTCACAATATTGAAATTGCATGCTCATAGCAAAACTGAACTTCAAAAGCCTTTCATGATCATATATATCAAGAGTCTATTTCACATTGTTCTCACATTTACTACACAGACACGTTCATTTCTCACTTTAAATATAATGATGATAGATGTAGAATTATGGGATCTGAATCAATTTTCAGATTGTGAAACTCCACATAGTCCTCTATAATTATCCTGCCTCCCAACATTGAAAAATACGCTCTCTCCCTGACTTCTCTTTTTGAATCATTAACACTATGAACCCGTATAATTGAAAAAAATGTGTCACTTTTAACTTTCTTCATTGTATTTGAAGAAAAAAATACTCTGGCCAAATGAGAAATGAAGTTTTTGGAAAACCAGAACATACACAAAAGTTTCTAAGCTTCTTAGCACAGAAAATAGGACTGAAGGGCTTGTTAATGAGCCAATCTGTGAGCCATCATGTGCTAGCATCTCTCTAAATGGAAACTGTAAGACAAAAGACATGTCACCTTTCAAGAAAGACACTGTCAGTGTTGAGTAAAACCAGAATGTGACTATGTCCCTTCAGTGTATTCCTTCATTTTTCAGTATCAGGGAATACTGTCAGCATTTTCTGAAATTTATAGAGGTCAATGAGTTGTCACTATTATCCCTATTTTCAGAGGAGTTACTTGAAACTCAAAAGGATTAAAGTGACTTATAATTAGTCATAATGGTTCCTCCTTTTCACAACCTACTTCAGATTTAAACTATCTCTGCATGAAAGAAAAATTTAATGTGATTTATGTTAAAGTGCTCATATACTTCAGAGTATCAAATGGCAGAATTTCAGGATAGTAGAATATATTTCTCTATGTGTTTTTAAAATTCTATGCTCCACATCCATTATCTGTAAATAAAGTACAGTTTCCAATGCAGTCAACGAGCAGTCAAGTGTGCTAACGAGGACATCTTTAAATAGTGTTGTTCTGCTGTGCTACAGAGTGGAGCTCATCAGAGAGCTGATGGAACACAGAACCATTTGGAGAGGCTCTGAGAACACATTTACAAAAATACCAAATCTGAATTAAGCAAAACTTAAGGATACTTTGTTTTGACTACTGGAAAGGAAACAATGACACACACAGGGACCCAGGTGGTTAATGTACTGTACACTATTACTATAAAGTACAAGACCTCAGCCTCTAAGCTCTTCAGAACCCAGGAATTCAGTTGGTTACGTAGTGCCCTATAGAACAGACTTGAAGAGTAAAAGAGCAAACATTTCAGATGCTCTTTCAAAGCTTGCCAATGCACTTGGCTATTGAATTCTTGCTATTGGTCTGTTGTGCAGGAGGGAAGTTTACAATGGTTTTTACTCTCCAAGAGGTTTTAAGCCTGTCTCAATTACAATACAGAATATGACATAAGCCCCCCTTTTTTTGTGTGTTGTAAAAAATAAACTACAATTGTAATAGCAAAACAAATTTGCTCAGTTCAGAAATGGTGTAATATGTAAACCTAAAGCTTTGCAGTTAATGCAGGTCCCTTGACTTTTAAGTCAACTTAATTCGAAGACAAATACCATGATTTATTAGCTATGAAATTGTTCTCTCCCACTATAGTTTAAATTAAAAGGCTTTAAGTAAACATTGCAAATTCAACAATGTTCACTTATGAGCTACTTATTTTCATCTGTAGATTCACCTGGTTGTGCCAAAAGATCCCTAAGGTCCTGATTTCATCTCACATTCACTGTTCTGTATGTGTGTGTGAATTCAAGTATCTCCTCTTTGTGAAGACCATTGACAGTGCTACAAGACGGTGAACAACACCACAACCCATGTTTAATGTTCATGTTGATGTCGTTTAGTAATGTGGCTAATTTGCAGAAAATCAGTCATTTATTTAAGTGAAAGTGTAGGACAAATGTTCTATAATCAGTGAATGCTGTTTCCATTTGGAAATAATTTGCTGAATTTTTTATGTGATTTTCAAGTTATGCTACTTCACCCATTAACAAGAGAGTACGAATGGGCTATGTTACTTTTAGGAAGTCCTTTTTCAAAACATTCTCCCTGCTGAAATGTCAGTACAAAGTGTCTTCTTATATTTCGATGCTTTCTCAGAGTTTAAGTGACCCACGACACCAATCACACATATCTCCAGGAATCTGACACACTGAAAAATCCTATGAGGTTTCCTAAAATAGATCCTGCTGACAACCATTTTACGTCTGAACCTGTACTAATTGAAAGAGGTCTCACTGATAAGAAATAATAAAAACAAAACAAAGCAATCAATTTGGGGTGAGGTAGATTAGGGCTAACTTTTATTTAGTATCTAGTAATTCAGCCATGTCACTTTACAGTCTCTTCCTAGCTCTCTCTGTCAGCACAGAAATTAAGGTTCAACTTTTAAAACATCACTTCATCAATCACAACTCTGACCTAGTATGTATTTTTTGCAATTCTCCTTTTTAAAGAATAGAATGGTATATTCAAGATTTTATCAATAACTTGTTTGATGAGAAATTCTCTTGTTACTATTTCATAAAAGACTTCCTGAAAATAGTTTTTACCCTCCTTTAGAAGTAAAACAACAACAAATCAGAAACAAAGCATTGCATATTAATTTAATTTTCCAATTCATTGTGAAAAGCAGTGAATTATGCGAGTTAATAGAAATGAATAATAAAAACAGAATTTAGGCTATTGTCAGTCCCTGTAAAATAAATTGTAATCTGAATATGTGCTTTGATCAAGTATTTTTTCAAAAGCATGTTCTACTATGATTCCCAATTTTCAAAATTCAAAATGTGACCCAGTACACACATTGATGTTCCCACACGTAAATTTAAGACAAACTCTTATGAACAACTTATCTGTACTCTATACTCTGATACTTTCTATTCTAGCTAATTTAATTTTTTAAATGCTTATTTGGATTCACAAAATTGATTTCATAACCTACTAATGAGTTGCAATCGCCCATAGAAAACATTGCTTTAATCTAAGTTTTTAAAACTGTGAGGAGGTGACTTTCATCTTAATAAGCAGAGAAGTGTTAAAAACATAATTGTCATACAAATAGATAGTGAACTTGTGTCAAAGTTGTGTTAATCACATTAATAAAAATACCAGCAAGAAAATACTAGAGCTAGTTTTAAGAGCATTTGAGGAACTTGCATAGTAAACAGAGGAATGACTTCTAAAAATAAGTTTGCTAAATTATATTTAAGACTGGTTAACTCCTTGCAGTATAGGGAGCCATAAGACCTCTGGTGGTTAACTCTAGTAAATTATAAAATCAAAACAACTTAATTTCCGCACTTTTAGATACAGAAGGATTCAAACATAGTCCAGTCGGGAGACTGACACAATATCAGTTATTTTAAGAAAGAATTTTTAGAAAGGATGCTAAGTGGATATAGAGTTATTAACCAAATTTATGCAAAGGCTAAGATATTGCCATGGTATCACAGAAACAGCAATGTTAGGAAGTAGCTACCACCCCTACCATCTTCGGGGCTGAGGCAACAAAAGGAAGATCATTAAGACTTAAAAGCTTGGAGGAGAGGCTTTGTGGTGATGAACCTCAAACCCCTCTGGTGCTAGCGTTGGTGTCTCCGAGGAGGGCTTGATGAGATCAAATGTTGGATGTACTGCAAGTGTTGATGTACTGCAAGTGTTGGAAATACTACAAAGAGGCAGCACCTGCTGCTATGGGAATAAATTGATATAGCTGGAATGAAGACGTGCCATTACGATAAATTCCTGGAGCAGGGAGAAACAAAAGAGGAAACCAACAATGGGAGCAATTCCCTCTCCCTGCCAAGCCTTGCCATCTCCCTCCATTGGCAAAGCCTAACAGGAAACCACTAGTAAAACAGATACATGGTTTTCAAAGTCCCAACCTCAGCATCCTAAAAGCAACCACAGAAGGGAAGTTGGAGCTGAGAGTCAATAGTTTAAAAACTGCCACAATATCTAACCTTACAGGGCAATGGAGCCTTTGCACTTTTCTCATCTGTGGATTGTTCAAGAGTGTCAAATTGTATCTCACAAGTAAGAGAAATATTCTAACATGAGAGCAAGAAGTAAGCAAGCCTCATTTGCTTTTTTCTAAATTTAGAATACATTTATCTTTATCAGAAATGTGTGGTTTAATAAAAAGCTCCACCAAACTTCAAAATTATTATAACTGATATTTTCTGCTTTTTATATTAAAGGAATTTCTGCAGACCATTACTCAAGTCTATTATGCTAACATTAGACATACATTTGGCTTGTTACCTTGAAAACCAATAATGACATTACATATTATGAACATAAAGATGTGCCTTCTCCCATGATTCCAGAGTTCTTTGGTCCAGTGTTGATATGTGACAAAGTGTTAGAATTAATATATGGGAAATTGTGATTATTTTTTAAAACTAAATAAAAGTTACATACGATAGTAAAGATTTCAATTGTGTATAGATATCAAATAAAAAGTTATATATATGTTTATATATGTAAAAGTGTAAATATATTTATTTACACAAAATAGATCATGCCATACATTCTTTTGCACCTTAATTTTTTTTCACTTAGTACGATATCTTGCCATATTACAACAGATAGATCCTCCCCTATATTGTTAAGATCTACATTCAAATATAGGATCTACATAATCAATTTTAAAATTCCTTGGGCATTTAGGTTGTTTCTAACTTTCTGTTATTGCAATGGCTAGCTAGCTATCTAGAGCAATGAAAAGTTGCAAGATATTGTTTTATGTACAAAGTATATACACACAATATGCTGACAAAACAATATTGAGTTAAATAGTAATCATGATTTTGTTAATGTTTATTTATAATTGAATCTGTAGCTGATGACTTGAAACAGCATGAAAGAGAACAAAAATACAATCTGATGAGTGTTGTCCTATCTTTCCAAAGCAACTTTATAATCAACCAATCTTTCTATTTCTCATATCTAGATACCACACCACGTGAAGCCCTTGCCATATTACAGCTATGACCAACCTGTGATGGGGTACTGCCAGGCCCACCAGCCACTCCATGTCACCAAGGGCTATGAGACAGTGTCTCCAGAGCTGGACGAAAGCCCCGGCCTGGAGCTGGGGCGAGACCACAGCTTCATCGCGACCATCGCCAGGTCGGCGGCACCAACCATCTACCTTGAGAGAATTGCAAACTAACGCTGAAGCCAACTCCTCACTGGGGAGCTCCATGGGGGGAGGGAGGGCCTTCATCTTAAAGGAGAATGGGTATACACAATCGTGCAATCGAGCAAGCTCATCGTTCCTGTTGAAACATTTATGGCATAGAGAAAAGAAAAAGAAAAAACAAACAAAACTGCTTCAAGAAGGCAGCGAATGCACCTGCAGCATTACCGGGAGGACTGCAGAACTTTCTTTGCTTTAAAACATAAAACGAACAAACAAAAATGCTCCCGGATGTAAATAATAAGAGTGTCAAGTTCTTATAAAAATAGATTTCACCCTAGCTACATATAGGTTTGTTTGTATATTTGATTTTTCTACACTGCATGGTTCCTGGGCTGGAGAACCACAGGGGAGCAAATAAACAGGGGTGGGTGGGAAGCTAGGGAAACAACAGTTTTCCTCTTTAGGTGTGTGTAACTCTCACAGATTTTATTTAAATTGCTTTCATTTATTTTTTCTTTAAAAATGCTGTCTGTTCTTGTTTTGTTTATTTTATTATTTTTTCTTTCCTGATCAAGTTTCTAATACAAAACATGAGCATTAAAGCTTATGTTGTACCAAAAGAAAATGTGCTTTACCACGGACCACAGAGAAAGTCGACCACAAAGTTTGACAAAACTACTGGAAAACCCAATAAGTCTGGGTAAATGATCCTTCATGACAAATGCCATATACGGGACATGATAGAAGGAGTTTTGTTTGGTCCCATTGGCAGCCCTCACCGTGTAGGATGTCTGAGAGAGCCATGAAGATCACCGAATGAGAAGACAAGCAGAATCATTCTCACATGGACTAAGGCTATAAGAGAGCCATGACCATGGGCTCGATGAATGAAACTGCCAAGCTGATGCATTTCTAAACACAAGATAATGTGTAACATTCCTTTTTAAATTAATTATCAATTAGCTTTTGTGTAGTTTTTATCAATAAAAGAAAAAAATATTGAAAAATAAACATATTATTTTGTGGTTGGTATACCACAGCCCACCTAATGCTGAGTGCTTTATCTGTATATTGTGGAATGCTTCTAATCTATATCAGGGTACCCCAATAAGAATCAGTTGGTATCTATCAAGTGTTTTCTGTGCGTTCCATGGTCAGATAGGAAGGCCCTATGAAGTGTAGAAAAGGAATATGAGATGTGGTTTATGCCTGATATGGTCTGTCTGTGTCCCCAGCCAAATCTCATCTTTAATTATAGTTCCCATAATCCCCACATGTTGTGGGAGGGACCCAGTGGGAAGTAACTGAATCATGGGGGTGGTTACTCCTGTGCTGTTCTGGTGATAGTGAGTAAGTTCTTACAAGGTCTGATGGTTGTATAAGGGGCTTCCCCCTTAGCTTGGTTCTCATACTTCTCCTTGCTCCAGCCATGTGAAGAAGGACGTGTTTTCTTCCCTTTCTGCCATGACTGTAAGTTTCCTGAGGCCTTCCCAGCCATGCTGAACTGTGAGTCAATTAAAATTCTTTTCTTTATAAATTACACAGTCTTAGGTATGCCTTTATTAGCAGCATGAGAATGGACTAATACATGCCCCAATACATTTCACAATTATTTTCAGAGATATGTGACCTTACTCTAATAAAATTATATAACAATATGAGAAAAAGTAAGTATCCATGGAAGGGTTATAGGTTGTCAGATCTTATAGAAGTGAAAGAACTATGTGGAAATTGGTTACTATCTAGGAGGAAGATGGATAGCATCCCCATTTTTTAACAAAGGAGATCACTGCATGCACATCAGTTGAGACATTTTATCATAAATTCTTTCGTGTTATAATGCTACATCTTAGCAATTCTCTAACTGTGGACATTCTCCTAATGTGTCCACTGGTGTAATTTGCTTAGTTTTATTTTTAAAACTAAATTATGCTACAAAATTTATGTCACCCTTTATTTAGACGAGTTTCATATTTTAAGGCCTTCTCACTTATAGTGGCCCTGCTGAGTGTTCCAGATCCAAGTTAATAGCTGCTATACATTTAATTCCAAATTCTGCTGAATTAATAATGAAAGAGCCTTGTAAATACCATCACATCACAGCAAACTAGCACAGAGTACTACTGAACATGTTTTGTTTTTTCTCCCTCAGAGAAGTTCTGTTTTACTACCACTTTAAATAAGGCTTGAAGTTAAATTATATCCCAAATGATACAAATAGTATGTCACATTAAAGGAAAACTCAATCGAGGGAAGTTTTTTTCATGTTGGAACACATGGCTATTGCTGTTGAATTCTGGTATCTTTCCTCTTAATATTATATTCTAGGTTACATGTATTTTCTTAACCATTCAAGTTGAATCAATTTACCATAAGTTTAAAAATTAAAGATAATTCTTTGGCATTATGATTTTGTTTTCAGAAACTATTCAATACATTTGGAATATGTCTTCCCAAATTACAAGGATTTTTTTGGTGGGGGTCTTTCCAAATTACAAGGATTCTCTTAATCCTTCTCATCTTCTCTATCTATCCAGTGTCCCCCATATACCATATCCACCACACCACCCCTTCCAGAGTTGATTTATGAGAGGTCACATATGAAAAATCTCGATCAAATTTGGCTGATGTCAGCTTCAGTTTTAGTTCTGTTTCTTATAACCAAAAAAGTCATAAATAGATAAGAATCTTCATGTTATTTAAAACTGCCATATTTGGCCAACAGTTGCCTCAAGGTTAATATGAAATAAGTGAACTACTAGCAAAACAGATAGCATTATAAAAAATGTTGTGTCCTATTTATATGAAAATTTTCAAAGAACTTATTTAAAATGTAATTTACATATGCCGGAAAAAGTTTACACTGAGCTCCAGAAATCTATGATTAAAACAAGCAAACAAACAAAAACTCAAACCAAATTACTTTAGTAGGCTTGGAAAAGTCCTCAGCTGAAAAATTCAGGTTTGATATTGTCTGAAGGGTCAAGCAAGTTTTCAGATAAAACAGTGTGTGTGTGTGTGTGTGTGTGTGTGTGTGTGTGTGTGTGTAGTGGTATTTCAACAAAAGGCTTAAGAAGAAAATAGGATTATTCATCACTTAAGCCCAAAAGTCAATTATTTTTCCCGCAACCCTGGTGTAACCAAGGAGGATGAAAAACTTCTGTTAGTCAACACTCAGGATAAATTATCTTCTGGGCCTATAAATGATAGGGAACAAACTTGTCTATGGAGGTCACTTTCATCCCTTTTTTTGTTAATTTTTGTGCTTTGCTATGCAAACTGATTGCCCCAGAATCCTTCTTCCTTAACGTAGAAGAGTGTAACTGTGAATTGTGACCCTAGCTAATATAAAGATTTTTTCACTTTCTTCTAGAAGTCAGGAATTATGTTGATTCTACTTATTTTTTACGTTGAAGTGTTAAAGAGCCCTCTTAAAGAAAGTTATGCTTTATTTGAAGACTATTCTAATTAGTAATTTGATTTTACACTATAGTGTTTATTGAACTTCTGAAGGCTATGCAGGTTGTAATTTCAAAGTTGAGGAGTCTCATGGAGTATTTATAGAGCAAGGGCATTAAAACCATGCCTAAAAGCAATTGTGAATGTGACAGAATACAGATTGGAACAATCAATTATCCAAACATTCTGATTAACTTTTTTTCATAAATATTCTTTGTAATGCTGAGTTTGCTTTACTGATTCTAAAATGAAATAAAGAAATAGCTTAGAACGAGGCCTGATCGGTATATGTTTAGGTGTAACTGCGGTTTAACTTCACATCTTATTGTACCTCTACTCACAGATTGGCGGACCTAACCCCAGCATGACTGATTCAGGTCTGATATGGGATCTGAGAATGTCTTTCTAAGTCCCCAGGTGATGCTGAGGCTGCTGTGTGTGGACTACACTTTAAGAACCACTGCCATAGAGTGTAGATACTTCTATCTGTTTAGGTTGATGACTCTGTATGAAGACTCAAAATTTGCATTTAATGTTTACTTAGAATTTAATGTTAAATTAATCTTTAAAATAAGAATTAATTTAAAACAGGTAGTAGTTTTATATGTTCATGCAATATGAAAGACTCGTACCTTTACATAAAGAGCATTTTCTAAAACATGCTGTGTAACACTAACAGACTATGCTCTCTGTGAAAGCAAAGAAGTGAAAAATAAACATCAGCAGCAGTAACAACAACAAAAGAGGTTTATATGATCAAATTAAATTCAGAAAATATTGCATATGATATGCTCCCTTTGGAAACTCACAAGGCAATTTAACATTTAAACAATATCAGATATACTGCAGTCAAGAAACCCATTTAACTTTGTTTAACTTGGAGTTTTCTAAACATATTAAACTACAATATCCTTCCTTAATTTAATATCTAAAAAAAATCCTGCAGAACTAATTTTCTGCAGAACTCATTTGGGAAATGTTAATTTAAGGAATGTTCTTTCTTTGGCCATCAAGAAAAGCATGTACCTTTGCAGATAACAATTTCTACATTTACAAATGATATAATGTACACCTATTTCCGAGATGCATGTGGATTTTTTTAATCAAAGACAATATATTTTAATCTCTCTAATAATAAAGTAAATGTCAAATACACCTGGATTAAATGAAAATGAATAATTAAAATGATGAAAATTCGATATCGTGAATGAGAAGTAGATCTCTCCATAGACAACATTCCTGTTCCATTGGAGATTAGACTCATTGTTTCTAAAGTGTAAGGCATTTTAAAATCAAAACAAATCACCAAAAAGTGCATGAAAATGTGGAGGGCCTTTATTTTCTGAGTTAACAAGTTCCTGGTAAGTCACTGGGCTTGGGTGATGTCAATCATTCATCTGCTTTCTGGGCCAGAGGTGCCCCTCACACAGGTAATAGTAATGCTTGCCGGAAGGGAAGAAAGAAAGACCAACACGAACCTTGGCTCATCCTGTCATAGTTATTTCCTTATAGAAACCAGGAAATTGATTATAGTGTTAGAATAAATTTCAGACTTACTTTATTCATTATTGTTTCCTTTTCAAAATGACATAAGAATAAAAACGAGGTTAGACATGAGTTCAGATTTTGTACTAGTTAAGAAAACTGTTCTACTGAAAATAATGGAAGAACTATGTCATAACAAATCCCTGGAATCAAAACATCCA